TGATACATCGACATGCAATTAGTTTTGTTCGGTAAAACTCTCGTCCTAAGGGCTACAATATTTTATCGCTCTCTAGGTGTTAAATAATCTAATTCAAAAATACTATATAGAGTGTCCTCGTTAGCTTAGTCGAAAGGTTAATATCCATCAACATCGAACTACCAATGTCAAGGCTTCTTTATCTAGAAAGTCGCTTAAATGTTTTTTTTTCGCTTTTTCTTTATCTAGACAATTTTCCATTACGTTTGCAAATATAAGTTAATCGCTCTTACACGAGGGGGGGAGGGAGGGAGGGGGCATTCCTCTGTCGTTGACAATTATCAAAAATCGCTGCGCGACACGTGTGGGACGAGAGATGACACTCGCCACTGTTCCTCATATCAAAATATGTTTTTCCTTCGCCTTCTTTTCTTTTTCCTGTTCGATTTGCATGCCAGCTGGAGGAAAATCGCCCGCATATTCGGGGAAAAAAGTCTGCATACATACACGTATACCATATATATATATATATACATATATAATAGTACTCTGAATAAAAGGAACTCTCTTGAAGAATCGCGTACAGCATCGAGGGAGCGATTGCTCAATCTCGGAATGTGTTCACGTATACGTATCCACGTATATACTGCACATAGATACGTATATATGAAATAACATCCGGTTGTTTCTCTCTTGTGTTCCATGCAAAAATTCATCTCTCGTTCCTTCCACTATACCTATCTTTCTTTCTCGCTACTTCTCTTTCCCGAGCCTTTTGCTTACATAACTTCTTGTTGTGTGCGAATGATTACATACCGACAAGGGAAACATTTCGCATACGAAGTCAAGATGGTTTTGTCTGCAGAGAAATCCAGTAACACTTTTATTGTATCTTATTACTGTAATTCACGACACACGAATTCAATCAAGAAACCTATCGACCTTTATTTAAATATCATAACCGATTTACTGTCGGATAAAAATCAAAAATATATGTTTATATATTCTTTATATTCTTTTTGTTATATCTACTCTATGACTAATCTTTTTATAATTTCAAGTCTATCGTATCGTTGGTTATTTTATATTTTAAGCGCCATTCAGATTTGATAAATTAATTTGTGAAAAAATAATCAAAGTATTTTTTTTTAGATACTAAACTTTTACTTCTCAAATCCACATTTGCAAAATTAAAAGTCGCAATTATAATGAACGTTTTTACAATTGTACTTTCTTCTTACGTATTATTGTAATGCGAATTTTATAGTTTTAATCATAAATTTAAACATAAATTTATATATCGTAATTAAAATTTTCTCGACACGTATACGGGCTAATGTTATACCTATTAATTATTTATCTTATAAAATTCATGATTGTTCTAAATATCGAAAAGAATACGGTTATTTTATTTCAATTTAATAATTTCGTGTGAATTAATTTTAGAAAACCTTAATACCGTGTAAATTATTCAATAAATGCAATCTTCCCAGTTTACCTAGATAAATACGTATAATGATATTGTTTATTCGCGTGGCATCTAATTATATCAAGTGACGTCAAGTACTTTTCATCCGTAAATCTTTCAAATGTCAACGATATTTTAAACAAAATTTATTTGCGTATGTTTAATATATTTCCTTGTAAATCAGCGATTAATTTTGTTAGGGTGGGTGAATGGTTTGCCTATATCTTTGTATTTTTGTGATTTGCAAATATTTATTTTAAAAAATGTTTATCTCGAAATTTTCTTTAAACATTTCATCCGCTATAATTTCGAGAAAAAAATTAATCTTCAATATGTAATTTATTTTACTACATGTTGAACTGAAAAGTATAGAAAGATAGATAGAGATTTTCTGTTCTTATTTTTTCTCAATTCTCCTTCTGAATCTCTTTGACAGACAAAGGAATAAAATTCTTCGATTTTACTTTATTTTAATATTTCACAAAATTTCCTTTTTTCAATTTGATTTTATATTTCGAAAGAGATGCTTGAAGAAAATATTTCGCTCTTCTTCATCATTTTCCCTGGCAACATTTCATGACAATCGATTGAACTTACGAAAGATATCCCTATAAATCTCGTCCAAACTTCGTGCATGTAATTTCGAACACACAATCGTCGACGGGCAATCCGATTAAGCGGCTTAATTGTCGAAACGTAGTGAGCGTTCCCATTCGTTCTCATTGGAATAATCATGACAATCGCGACCATAAGCCACAGGGAACATTGACTGGTTTCTCCGCAGAATAAAAACACACCTCGCGCATCTCATTGTTCTACTTCCCTTCTATATCTCAACTCTCTTTCTCCAATCTCTAATTGATCATCTTTCTTTTCTTTCTCGCCCTCCTTCTTATTTTGCATTTCCTTTTCCTAGCAGAGTCAAAAATGCGTAGCGCGCAAGAAGCTAGGTAGGTAGGTACACACGAGCATATCCGACCAACACGAACGTTAGAACGCATGAGAATAAATTTTAGTCATTCTTGTCGATGCAACATCCCGTAGATTTTGAAAAAAAAAAAAAAGATATCTTGTACGTCGCATGTAAAACATACTTGAACAAGTATCTTCTAGCATCGTAAAGACTCTCTCAAATTTAATTCTCAACTAGTAAGCCCACAGTGATACTTGATCTAACTCGATAGTAAAACTCCAGTTAAGAATTAACGTCCGGAGATAATACATACGTGGATGTGGGTGTGTGTGACGACTCTCTTTATTCTTCGAGTTTACAATCGCGTTTTCTCATGCGATCCAGCGAGCAATCGTTGGCCATGCGAAGCAGCATTCTGTTTTTAAGCGGCAGCATATACAAATCACCCGCCCGATTTAATGTCGTCGTTCAACAGGGCGATACGTCTTCCCCGTCGACTTTCTCTCTCGGGAATAAGTCATCCTCCACTCTCGAGAGATTCATCGACAGGTCGAAGAGGACGCTCGGTGTAATACGACGGCAAGAAATTGGCGCGAGCGAATCTCTTACTTGATTACAAATAATTGTTTTGCTTTGTGATTGCTTGCTGCAGCAGCTAAAACCCTTGACTCAAGTTGGGAAGCTCAAACTCCAGTGGATTCGTCACAACGTTTTCATCGTGTTTTTTTGTCACTGTCTTTTTTTGTCGTTTCTTGTTTTTTCTTTTTTTAAGTTTTCGCTTTTTTTTTAGAATGACTCTCGTGATATTATATTTGTCCATAAATCGGAGCAGCGTTTCGTTTCCTCTTTCGTTTTTTGTCCGTTTGTATTTTTTTTTCTTCTTTCTCATTTCTGCATTCGCATAATTATCATTAATTATATAATATTCGTTTACATTGTGTATTTACTAGAGATTTTGGTATTAAAGGGAAAGACGGGTATAGTACTGTCCGACGTAAATTTTTTCGCGTTCTCTTTAGATGCGTTGTCTCTGTATGTGACCGTTTTGTTTACCTAAGAACTAATTCATCGTTTAGCGATTAGAGAGGAAAATCCGTTCGAAAATAAGCCGAAGGCATCCCGGTCGTTTATCTCGTTTTCGAGCGCGTCGGGATCAGGGTGTACCTGAGCTTTAACGAACCGTACCATCGCGAGACGACACGAAAGGAGGAGTTATCGATAACTTCTCGAAGGACTTTGCTCGTCTAAACAGGCTGAGCGGCTGGCAGCGAGTGGGACGAATATCGTATCTGAATATCGTTCCTGCTCTTGGTGTCTTTCCGTACGAAGACGTTAGTAAACGAGGGAAAAATCTAGTTCACTGAGATACCAAAGAAGAAGAAATATATCCCGAAGACGAGGAGCGCGGGTCTCTAAGAGAAAGTATCGAGTTGTGTGTATATACTCTAAGTGGAATCACAATTGAAAATATCTCGCTCTCCTCTTCGTGGTGTCATTGAATCACTTAAATGAACATTCATATAGATTATTGTACTTAATTTTATATAATATAACGTATATATATTGTATATCTCTCTTTCTCTTCCTCTATGCGTATCTAATTAAATCTATGTACATACTAAGTATGGGCACGGAGGAACTCGTCCGTATGTCTTTCCCCATTCGTTTCGATGAATTTACATGTACATCCCTCTTGAGTTGCGTTTGTTGCGATATACTTATACCACATAATCGACGGTTGTTGAAGACGGAAAAGTAGATAAAGTAAAAAATTTCAACGTATGAATTGTGTGACATTACGTTACGAATTAAAAGCGATAATATATAAATACATATATAAAAGAGGAAAACAACGAAAAAATACAATTAATATTAATATTAAATAATTTCGAACATATGACTAGAATTATATAATGTCGAGAGAGAAGCATGTTAAAAAAAGAAGGAAGAACAAATTTAATTTAAGAAAGTCAACGCTAAAAAATTTAAGCGGGTCGTCGTAGTAAAGGAATTACATGTAAGTTATAAAACGGATTATTATAACACGCGCGTATAAAACGCCCTTCCCTTCTCGTTCACGAACTTATTTAACGAACAATTTGATAATCGATGACGATCCTAGAATCCTCAGTACTTTTTAATCTGCGTCTAGTGCTAACCGAGTTACTTCTCACGCAATAATACTATTTTATGTACACGAGTAATTTACAAAGTTGAACTTCTCTCCAGCTATATTCGCGCCTACTGGCAGCCTCGGATCTTTCCCTTCTAATACCAAAGGTGTATAATCTGTTTTTTTTCCCTTTTGCTTTGATAAGAGTGTCCTTTGATTCTTAAATGCTGTACAGGAACATTTACTTGCTTAACTCTTTAATCACTCGTTTAATATATATATTTTTATTATTTATTACTTTTTTTATCCGTAGGCTTCTCTCATTTCTTCCTTATACTTATTTTTTTTGTCGTTAGAGTACTTTGTGTTATATCTAAATTTCGTTTAAATAATTATATTATCAAAGTGATTGATTAAACGATTAATGTACTAACTTAAAAAAAAAGAATAATATACGATATAACATTTAAAGTAAAAAAGGGGTGCGTGAAGAATCCTGATCCATCATCATGACTAGTTCAAAAGTGCATTTTTCATTTTCGCAATGTATTTCGGTATGAATATATTCGATAGATCATATCGTGTCGTTGGTCGGGAAAGTTGGTGTAAGCCTCTCCTGGACGGTAAAATGTCTTTCAAATATTTGTATTGCCACGTGTTAGCATATGTGGTGAATTGGAAGTCTTATGTTGATCGCAGACTCGGAAGTTAAGACTCTCTCTCACTCTCTTTCTCTCTCTCTCTCTCTCTCTCTCTCTCTCTCTCTCTCTCTCTTCTAGAGCAAATTCTCTCAAGTGAGCAATCACTCTTTGAGATATTTTCGACGAGAAAATCGGGTCCGCAAGCGTGTCTTAATATTAATATCTTTTTCGACGTATGTATATATACTTTGTAAAAAAATATTGCTCGGAACATCTGTTCTGGACGCGCGAGAATGTATCGTTCAAATTTTAAACTATGAAAAGAGAAATGAGATTCGCAGAGAGACGCGAATATATATGCAAAGTGCACGCGTAATCATGGAGCATAACTTGAAGAATAGCTTCGAAGATTGCAATTGAGCGTGCACGAAAGAATTATCATGAAGAATGCATTTAATGACGAAAGACTCGACCGATGGAGGAGGGTCCTTCACGCATGATATACCACGGGGGGAATATAATTATATATCAATATTAAAAGATATTAACACAACAATATTTACGAAGACTGAAACAACGTATGCATATAAACTTATTCCCTATCGATCGTGTAAACCTACGCACGCGATTTAGGCGGATCGATTTTTTTTTTCGTTTGTTTCGAAGAGCAGATATAAAACGATTCCTCTATCTTTCACCTCTCCTATTTTTTTCTTTTTTCTTTCTCGGCAACTTTCGTTCGCGCGCCAAGAATATCTCCTCGCGACATCTCCTTCTTCGCGATCGCTCTCTCCCTCATCAGAAGTCTCTCTCCGTATCCTTAATTATTAAATATAATTTCTTATCGTATGCATATAAATTTGTCATATACATTTGTCGTAGTGTAGTAATTAATTAGTGTTTATCCGCCTATAGAGAATGTGCGATTTTCGGCGTTTGCCTGTTTTTCTCGCGAACCAAGTTAACACGATCGTGAAAGTCAACTAACCGGCGTAAAACACGTCCTAAGGCTTCCTGTTCCTCTCCGCGCGAGAGAATCGACCGCTTCGCCAGTTTCCGACAATTCTGACGTTCCATTTCCGACCATTGCTTCGCATCGCTCGCCTATATAATCGTCGCCAATCAATCCGCCGATAACTATTATTACGCTCCCCTTCGCGCGAAATTGTTACACCCCCTTTCGCATATGCATACATATACATATCTCTCTTCGCATGTATATACACACACGTGTTTACATTATTATCATAAAAACAAAATATAATTGAGATTTGTTATATACGAGTATAAAAAACTTCGTTATATGCGCGTGCGCTCACCGCGTCTTTTATATCATATCTCGTGTAAATTATTTTTTTCTCTCACATCGTCTCGGTGATATTTTATCGTCATTATATTTTTTGTATTTTGCGTACCTCTCGATCGGCATTCATTTTCGTTTTGTCGCGTTGATTCGCAGTCCCTAGCTAGTCTACTTATGCGATACAATTACGATTTCTCTCGCGCCGGAATCTGGCGCAGATATACAATATTTTTTTTTTTTTTTTTCCGAGACATACATTCTTTCTCTTCGGAGAATTCTCCCTTACGAGCATGCATTGCGTTGCGCGAACGTGCACTGCATGTCACAGCGAATCAAGACACAAGTCCGGAAAAGGAAGAAAATCCTAGGTATTCAGAAGTAGCTTTCTCGAGTAGGCAACGAGTGAGTAGAAAAACGAAGTCAATCTCGATAGTTCTTATTGTCAAAAATACAGCAATAATTTGATTCCGTGATAAAAAAGGGAGAAAAGGTCATATGTCTTACATTTCGCCGAGCAAAATTAATTGTGTTCGAAATATCAATATAACAGACACGAGAAAACGGAAGTCCAGGATCAAGAATAAAAAAAACTCTTCCTCCCTCTCTTTCTTTCTCTAATTGTATTTTGTTGTTCTCGAGAAAACTACCATTCAAGACCGGGAAAGAAATTTGACGTATATGACTTCGCAGACGTCAACGAGGAAGTCGTAGAAGCTTGAATCATGCTGACAATCGCGCGCGGGTTGTTGTTCGTGAAAAGAATGAATCTCAAGATGTATTCGAGTTTAATGCTTACCTGTCAGTACAAAATGTCGTCGTTGTTCTTTGTCGGGTCCTGATCCGAAAGATAGACTTGGACCCTACGTGATATAAATGGGAAAAAAAGGAAAATCGTGGAAGTCGCGAAATGCCATCCCGGTTTTGACGAGCATTTCGAAATTCGTCTCTCTCTCTCTCTCTACGGTCCACGGGAAGCCAAATAGAAATCGAATGAGAAAAAAAAAACAACATTAAGGAAGACTTTAATCACTAGCTCGCACATATTTTTGTACAATCATAAGAAATATTTGAACGATTCTCGACTGCCACTCGATTTTTCCAGCTTCCACGATCACCCGTATCAAATCTTTCCCCGGTTTCAATTTTTCTCCGACAAACAAAAAAAGAATTCCTCCATCTTCCTATACGTTTTCTTCCTTCTCCGCGACATTTTTTCGACTTTCCGCGACAGAAAAATTTCTCGTCTCGACACCCTACCTTCTTCTCCCTCGCTCTGTCGTGCGCCTTAACCCGCACTTTCGTGCGTGTGCATTACGAGCGTACATACGTCGTGTATGTATATAGAGTGAGGAGTAGCGTGTAGTTGCGAAGGGGAGTATCGAGACGGTGCTGTTGAGAAAGAGTAAATCGAATCGACGGCGTGAACGACGACGTTCCTCACTCAGCGCGCCTCCGTTTCTTTTTTCGCTCCCATTGTTCGCCGTCGTCTCTACCAACCCCTGTAGACGTCACGATCCCCGACGTGCATGGAGATGCATGTTCGCGCAAGCTTTATCGGGACTCTTCTTCTTCATCCTCCTCGCGGTCCCTGCGCCATGCTCACGCCAGCGAGGGCAACCCTATGACGAGGCGGACGATGCGATCGCCATCAAAGGTGCCGGCGGCAACGCGACCGGTATGTGATAATATTTACACGAGGGTCGCATGCACGCGCCCTTCACTGCGTCCCTGCACACCGTTACGCGGTTCTCGATCACCTCCACGTTTCCTGAAAATTTACAGAGAAATTGGATCAGTCGGATTATACGTGTACCATATATGTCTGGCGCGTGACGAAACTCCTGTCTTCCTTTGTCCTCTAGGGAGATTATAGCTTCGATCGATGTTCCTCATGATCAAGAAACTGTTATCGATATAGTTTCTGAATTTCGAATCAATATTGACGATTAAAATGTCTAATTGTAATATTATGTGTAATATATAAATATTAATTTAAACATAAATATGGTTCTCGATTGAAGGTAATTTATCTTTGACTCGTCGAAAAGAAAATTTGACGCAATATATTCGCCGAGTGTTGAAAAGCGACGCATGAATATTTTTTAAATCGACGTTGGAAAAATATGCAAATTTGCAGCGACATATAAATAACGCTCGTTATTCGCAACGCGTACAATTGATTGTGTAAAAAAGTACATCCGCTAATTATTTCGCGAGGTAGCGAGAAGCGTTTCTTCCTCGCGTTGCCGAGTTTCGCCTCGCTCTCTGCTCATTATCGCGAGTGGAACCTAATTGACGGCGGCTTGATAAAAGAGAGATTCTCGTTACATCTCGGGAAAGATCATTCGCGTGCTGAACGCGAAAAAAAAAAAGAGCGAGTCACGCTGTAACGGCGTGACGTTTTTAATAAACGCCCCGGGGATAATGAAGGCGATCAACACGACGTGGTCGACATTGACGTCGCAAAACGGAAATAAAATACAAAAAAAAAAGCCGGAACGACAATCGAACTTCCGAGCGATGAAACCGCGAATGATTTATTGCTCGTAATTGCGACGCGTCTCGCACGCACATTCGGATCGACAAAACCGGGAAAAATCGAACGACGAATGTGTGAAAGACAAGACCATAATCGTCGGCGCCTGCTGCCTGCGGGATCAGTTCCGTCATGCAGGAATTTCAATAGCCGAATTTCTACCGTCGCTCGTGATACGCTTATTTTATCCGAGGAACCTCGTTACTTCGTGATACCGATCCGCGATCGGAGAGAGATTTGAAAATCGCCAAAGCGCCCCGATGAATATCAATTCGACGAATCAAATGTGATTTCCTGATGCTGAGATATTGGCTCGTGTTCTCGCTGCACATTCATCGTTAATGTAATCATGCCATTTCGTAGCATTTTCTTTTTTTTTTTTTTTTTTAATGTTAAGATGACAATCAGATGCAAATCATAAAGTTGAAGATAAACGAAAATATTAAAATGAGGAAACTTTATTGATTTTCCAATATCGAAGATTAATTTTGTTGAAACAACAAATTAAGTATAGGCGAATAAATGCGATACACAAAACCAATATATCTTCTCAACATACCAAAATTTCTGCTTCAATATAAATTTAAGTGGATGATAAAATGTAATAATAAAACTTCCGCGGTTTTGTACCTCGAAATTATGATCGATGTACGGAACATTTTTTTCCACGATAATCTCAATTACTTCACATAAAATAAGTAGCACTTATTCTGCATTTAGCCGCGCTATAATCAGAGTCTGTGCTCCCCAAATAACTCACCGTCACTGAGATGAATAAACTTGCAGGCGGGACGGTTGCACACTTGTCGATTAAAATCTTGGCACACCGGGAGGGTGTCCAGTAACTGAAAGAAAATGTGCCAGATACTCTTATAGCGGGTGAGATCGGCCAGTGATGTATGATTTGTGCGAAAAAAAAAGAAAAAACTTATAATATCGCACACATGCGCTCTCGCAAAGATTCGCTCACACAGATACACGCACAATCATATTTCATTTACCCTTCTTTCTCCCTTTCTCTCTCATTCACTCACAGAATTGCTTGAAAATATATCAATAGCCGATAATTGAATCTTTTTCACCTCTCTATCGAAATGGATTTAAAATCGTATGTTACAATAATATTACCCATACACATTCCTATACTCGTTAATCAGTTTATCCACATTGTGTAAGCAAAGTAGTTTTGATCAACGTACGGAGTGAAAAATAAATATCAGTATGCTATCTGATAATTTTTTTTATTTATACTTTATTGATATTATTGAAGATTAATGAAGATAAACAAAAGTACCAAATTAAATTAAATATAAATTTAATTAATTGATTTATAAAAAATGTTAGTATCCAATCATTGTTTTAAAGAATTATATCATCTCGATACATATTTACTTGTTTAAAATCCAGTTATTAATTAAAAATATCGGAGAGCTTGATATATTTTGAAGAATCCCTATTCTCACACTTCACACAGAAATTTTTCGCACAAACATACTCCAGATTCTTTAGTGTTAGAGCATATCCACGATTCATTACATGCTCTAAAAGATCGGTTCGTATATGGATATTAATTAATTGCTACTGATGTGCAAATAATCAGCGCGACCGGATATTACATTCGTGATGCATATGATCCGAGACGAGTGGCTTTTGAAGCGACACCTCTTTTTCACGTCATAACCGATCGATTAAAAACGCCGAAGTAAAACGCGGCCGCTTTTGAGTATTCGCACATATACGAATTAAGTGGTAAATTTGCAGTAGAACTTTCGTTTTCAAACAGAACATTTCCTATTATGGTATGTATATTATATTTATCGTGGTGTAAAATATGAAAATTCTGATTCGACAGAATCTTGCACGACTAAATCGTATTAATTCTATCGAATGGATACATCCGCGATTTGTCGGGATTTGCAAGATTGGCTTGACTCTGGGCGAGAAAACTGAGGGGAATATCGTATTATTTTTATAACACGAGCCGGTTGTGTATGTGTGTGAGACACTTTCGTTATATTAATCTCCGTGATATTTCGGACACAATGTGTGCAAGGAGCGCGCTTAGAAACAAGGATCTTTAATTCGCAAATTTTGTATGATTCAAGTATGCAGGAAAAATTTCTCTATACAATCAAAGTCTACGATCCAATTAAAATATTTGACATAATAAAATTGTCACGTTCGAATATTAGAAATATTTGATACCTATATTTTATTCAAAATTATTTCACTTCGTATCCTGTATGCTAGTGGATTTTGTATAGCATTTGCGAATCAGATTTGGAAAAGCCCTCTTCTCATCGGGCCATTCAGCGCAATGACTAGACTGAAATTTTAGTGTTAACAAAATATACGGGAAAGCAATGGAAAGAGATGCTGGCAGGAGCGCTAGAAACGCTCAGCTTCTTCGCTCTCTTCTCTCCGTTGCTTTCGTTTCCGACCGAAAACGATGTTGGAAAACATCGACTTAATGTAAACTCGGTTTGCGAGATAGGAGCGATAATTACATATAAATGTGTGTATGTATATATATAATATGTACGCAGAGAAACATCTACTATATACGCGCGATATTCACACTTAAACTGTATTGAACGCACCGGAGACAAGAAAAGATATGTTTCGGAGCCTCTTTTCTCCCGAATCGCGAGTAATATATTTTTCGCGCGCGCGAAAATATAATTTCACATTTAACATATGGCGAATGGGTAGAGAGAAAAGACATAAATGCGAATCGCAGAACATTGGCAATCGAAAGAATATATACGTATAAAGTGAACCCAAGTGGAAGCGGAAACTCCACCCATCTACTGCAGCTACTATCCGTTCCTTTTATTACCCATCGGCAAAAAAAGATGTATGCATATTATATGTACACACACACGGAAACACACACGTACACTCGTATCTAGGAGAATTATTCGTATATATCCGAAATATATAAGAGACAAATGCAGCAAATAGATTAAACATCAAATTCCAGAATATGGTTTTCGTGTTAGCAAAACGTTAGGTCAAAAGCATTAACAACCTACCAGACAGATATATATGAAAAAAGTTAATTAAAAAAAAAATAATAATTAAAGAAACAAAATATTATCGCGCAAAACTATATCATAGGCTCACCATATATGTATTTTTTTAAAAGCGTGCAAAGTATATAAAATAATATAATGGTAACTTGCTTCGCCATATAAAATGCTCGACAAAATCTCGGCAAAAGAAGATTATCCCGCATAATCGTAATAATCGCATGAGATAATAATAATAATAATAGTAAGTTATCAGTAACAAAAAGTAAAAGTCTTAGACACGTAACGATGATAGGAATAATGACGGCCATAAAAAAATATAGCAACAGTAATGATAATTATAACGCTAGTATAAACGTATGTAACCATAATATTAACCATATTATAATAAACAATTCTTGCAATTGCATAAGAGATAACTCGCTACGAACACAGAGTCTGGTCATGCAAATAATGGCCCGGGAGAAGGGGATCGTTTTGCTTGGGTGATCATCGTAGGTGTTACTCGGACGCGCGTATCAATAAGTGTGATTGAAAAAAAAAAAAAAAAAAAAAAGATCGAAGCGTCAATCTCTATTTCACGACGAAGGTGATGACGAGAGTGGTTCCGTGTATCAGCTGATGATGATAATACAGTGTCATCACCCAAGCGTTAGTGTGCTGCCAAAAGCCGACTCACCGCTTCGCTTTCGGTTCGCATGCGTGAATTACAGGACCGTAACACACACATTCACTCACTACTAAAGCTACGGGAGGAAAGGTGGTCCTCTCTCAAGTGATCCACGCCGGCGAACCGAAATGACGAGGGGGACGGCCGCGAAAAGAAGGGGGTTGAAGGGTGGAAAAACTGGATAGTCAGCGGTTATATCGGCAATATCGTATAATATGGATGTGGGATATATGTCGTATAAGCCGTCAAATTAATAATATTCTACTGCAAATAAGTTCAACACTATGTCAACTGCGACTCCGCAACCATAACAACAGAGCTAGCCAATTATTATAGATAAGTGACTGTGTTTCGATAGAGAGAACAATGCGTGACGATCGAATACTATTAAATTCGATCGTCCTTTCATATGCGGGGGAAAGCTTTGTCAATGGAAATGATGATTGGTTTTCCGAATTATCGGTTAAAAAACGTAAAAAAGCTCGCGCGCGCGCTTCTTTATTCTTTTTTTTTCTCTTTATATGCATTATCCATGTATTCTATATTCTGTGCCTCGTAAGTTAATTGCGTCGAAAGCAATGCAAGCGTAAGAGACACTCCGTGTCGTTCTTTGACCAAGTAAGCGGAAATTGAGCGATTCGAGCGATTGAAAGCTGTGTGTATATTTGCTTCAAGTCGTGACAAAGTTCTCAACCCTTAAGTCGCTCGAGATTGAGAGATTTGCGCGAGGCATATATGCTCGCCCTGAATTAAAATTAAAATTAATACACGATATTGTTCGGTTTATTTCGATTCTTTGGCTGTAGAATAGTGTTAACTTTAGCAGCTGTTTGATCATTCGAAAAGCAAGAGTACAAACGCGTTATTTATTATTATTAATAATATAAAAAACAACGTTATACACATCGATATGTTTTTTGGTCGGCTCTTCCGCATTAAAAAGTATCGTAAAAATCATCACGCCATTGTCATTGCCCAATAAAAATATTACAACTGTCTAAATAATCTATCGAATTTTTTTAAAGGCTACAAAATATAATCCGACAAATTTTTACGCGCACATGACACGTCGTTCTAATCATTATTACGAATACTACGATTTGTGTAATGTGAAAATTGACGCTATACATGCGATATCAACCAGAGGATATGAGTTATAATAACTACAAAGAAAGAGGGATTTAACAAATTTGCTCTCATTAATCTAATTGTCTTAATCGAATTACTTCTATATAAAGACAAGTAATGCTCGACGTTGTAAGAATAGAGTTTTCTCTTGACATGTCAAAAAGTGTGATGTACTTTATTACATATATTTTATATACGATTATAGAATAATAATAACGAATAAATTTACAGGATATATATGGCGATGTAACTTTTATTTTTTAATAAAATTTTTAATGAATCAAAGAGTTAAAATTTACTTTTAAATAGATTTATAGAAGTTTTTGTGCACTATAATATTTTTAATTAACATTTCCAAACGAGATTGAAACTGACGTTTGACATTTCTGATAATTATGTCAAGCAATTTAGAAAAAGTATGATTACCAAGGCAATGTAGCAAGAGAGTCTCGTAATTTCCGCATATATTAAATTTCTATGTCGCAGGTAATTATCGAGATGTGTTTTAAAATGTACTTCATGCCCCCTGGTTGCGCTCTCGATAAGTTCTCTTAGTGTCAAAGTATAATATTAATGAGCATGCACAGTATACACGCCCGACACTCGTAACAGCTGTCCATATCGTACATGTTACTTGCGGTAAGATGCACTGCGAGAGAGAGAGAGAGAGAGAGAGAGAGAGAGAGATGGATAGAGAGAAAGAGAAAGAGAAAAAAATAAACAAATAGAATACTAAAGCGTACAAGGGATGAAAGTTGCTCTCAGACGGTAGCATTAGATTCAATTGTAACACGGATACAAAGAATATGTTTAAAAGACATCCCGACAATATCCTCATCCACAAATAACGCGCAACGTTAATCAGACAAGCGGTTCAAGACAATGGCATGATAGATATAATAATAATAATAATAATATATATATGTATATGTATATAATATATAGATACATGGCAAATATCGTTTAATTGCAAAAGTACTAATCATACTAATTACTGGTATAAGAAGCGTGCATCTCTTTTTTTTCGTGAATAGGTTTGTCCGTGTGTTTATATCATGTGTGTATGATGAGTACTCGTATGCCTGTGTGTGTGTATATATATATATATATATATAAGGGGCAGAGGGGGCGGGGGTACGAAGGTGACGACAACGCTTTCGAAATAGCATAATAATAATTACTGGTATAATAATAGACAAACACCAGATAAAAGGCAGTGGTTATTCGCAGTTATAGTTGCGGTGAGCAGTCGTGAGGGAGATGCCCCCGAAAGCTACGTGTTAGCCAAAGTTACCGAGAGATGCGGATTACGGAACGGGGTTCGCTCTTTAAACTAATCAAACAAACATCAAGTCTCCTGCTATCTAAGCGGTGCGTGAATAAAAAAAAGCGGATTATTCATAGAGCGACAACCGCGATTTTCCTTCTCCCTCGTTAACTTCGAAGGTTAGCAGCAATTAAAGTTCGAGCTTGCATCACGGAGCACCATGTTTTTTTTTTTTAATTTTTCGAGTCGGAAGATTAGCGATTAATATTAGATCGATTCCACCTTCGTCGGAAGGAAATGTCACGCATATAAAATCCATCGTTCCTGCAATGTTTTAAATAACGAAAAACAATGCAAAAATGAAGGGACTGATAGAATAGGATTCCTTGAAGCTCGATTGGTGAATCACCTCGCAATCACGACCTTCAGGGAATCGAGTAGGGACACGAAATCATGCGAGCGGCGCGTGTGATGCAAACTCGAGACCGGATAAAAAACTGGTTACAATAATGAGTCTACCTGTCCGCAGCTGTCTGTGTAGACGACACAGTGAGCGTTTTGGGGGACCACTTGGGCCCCGACAGTGGCTAAGGCTGCTAAGGCGATCCACATGCAGCAAACGAGGCAGTGTTCGTACGGTATTTTTTTTCAAGTATCGGTAGTTTTTTTGGTGGTCATTTTCAGTACCACACAGTCGGTTGAATTCGGTGGAGAAGGCACCAGATCAAAGGAGACACGCGTGAAGCGTGTCCTCGGAGCATCCAGGTACATGTACGACAGTGAGATCGAATTTTTGTTCCGTGTGTTATCGTTCGGTTTCAAATTTTTATTTTAAATGCGCATCGTTCATTTCATTTCGTCAATGATATTATTATTATTTTTTTTTAATTAAACATTCCACACGAGGGAGGCCATGATGAGTCGTCGATTAAATTGCAGTCGCAGCCGTTCGTCGTTTCGATTAATGCGCGCGCGAGAAACACGAGTGAAAAAGCGTGAGAAAAATGAGAGCGTAAATTACGGAAAACGAAAGTGTAAATCGTCGACTTGTAGCATTTTTTTCGCGCGTTTATTTATTCATTTATTTTTTTTTTTTTCGAATTCGCGTTATTTCACACACGCACGGAGTATGCGATGTGAAATTTCGGAACGTTGGCATCGCCATGTAGAAAACAAATATATGTGTGTTTATATGTATGTGTAATACGCATGTTGTGTTTAATTCGTACGCATTATTGTACATTTTATATTTCGGCGATGTATCAGAGTGTGTGTGTCGCGCAGGTAGATAATGGGATTCCGATTTAATTTTTTTGTTCGCGGGTGATGGACGGGCGTCGAAATAATGCGGTGCACACATATCAAAGCCAGCGTTTCAGAGAGAGAATATTCATCATAATAATACATAATATATATATATACGTGTATATATGTCGAAAAAAAAGAATATTGGGAGATTATATATATATATATAATATAAATATGTGCACGATAAAAAGCCCGCGTCCGGATAGAGGCAAAATTTCGGGAAAAATCAATCAACCGGTCGGGCCGAAGCACGTGATAAAGCGGAGAACAGGGAGCGTGCGTCAGGTCGCCGCCACCCATCGACGAGCGTATACGTCACGTGTTTTTCACCGGCATTATCATTTCGTTTTTTTTTTTTTTTTTTTCGTTTTTATCACCACGAACCACCGCGTTTTCGAGACGCACAACAATGTTTCGAATCCGTACGCCGTTTTATTTCGTTCATTCGTTTGCCAAATATTTATCGAACGATTCGGCGTGGCCGTCAACGAACGGGAAACAAGTTCAACGATTGTGAGAAACAGGAAAAAAGAGAGGAGAGGAAAGGAAAGAGAAAAAATAAGAAAGAGAAAGAGAGAACGTCGACAAAACCCATCACCAAAGTTCGTCCACGATTAGTTAACAAACGCGCGCGCAAAAAAAAAAAAAAAAATAATTGACAATTTTGCATCGAGTTTTAAGTGGCGTACAGCAAACAATATTTCGTTATTATTACGCATTTGTCGTTTACGTTACGTCGTGAAGCAGATAGTTTCGCGGATTGTTAGGTGGCAATATTTTTTTTTTTCCAAAATCGTGGTATTTAATGATGTGGCGGTACGAATTAAAAAAATGTTAATTTTCTCGCCAAGATTTTCGACGTATACGAGCGGCGAGAGAGTTGGTCGCACAATCGCCACGCGATATCGTATAATTATACGATCGGGGGACGAGGCCGGGATATCAGATGATGTGATGAGGGAACCATCGTGATCAATCGTCGAACGTTTCGGGAATCAATTAGGGGATTGGATCGGCGCCACGTAGGCCACGCAGGACGTCGCATCGGGATGGATTCGGGGGATGAAAGCGTCGGCGAGGTAGTGGATCAAACGGTATGCGTGTTGGTGAATTTGGTCGGTTGAAAGACGTGCGGTAGGTATATCCAGGCGAGGGCAAGCATGAAACAGAAAGTTGAAAGAGAGACCATGAACGAACGCGTTTTAACATGCACCAGTGGCGTATCTGTGTCTATGTGTGTGTATTATATCTCTATGTGTGTTTTGATATACGTGTGATAACATATATGTAATATAGTGGCTGGCACACATTCGTCTCGAGCCTGTCGTTAGAAGTCGCACGTCGATTCACTTCTTGCGCTGCAAACGAACCAAAAGGTGTATTGAGCATTGCACAGTAAGTGTATTAATCATATACACATTTCTCTTTTTAATAAATTTGTGACCCTCTTCCGAAAATCAGCGGAAGACAGCCGCACAGACAGCGAATCCTTCGAACGAGTACGCTCTCTCGTGCATTCTCCTCTATCAAAGCGTTGCGTTTTTTTACGTCACACCGTGTTTCGCATGCGCTAGTAAGTGTCTATATTCGAGTTTTGTCGAGGCGACAGTTTGACCAGGCAGTAGGTACAGATGACTTCCCATTTGGAGCGATTGATGCATTTCCAGGAAGTATCGAATCCAAAAATATTCGCGTAAATCAACATCGCTTCGAGTAAAATTAAATGAATCACGTGTCTTTCGCGTTTCGAATAGTCTTGATTTTTTTTTAAAATCTCTGGAATTATGTGCTTATGTTACATGCATTATTCCGATCGCATCTTCATCAATAAATTGAAATCTAATATAATCGTATTTTGTTTTTGCTTTTGTCAACTTAAGATATAGTAACAGCAACTGAAGTTAAAATTGCGATTGATAAAAAAATATAGTTCGCTACAATTTATTATTCACATTTTATCCAAATTACTGTACACATTCTCCCAGATTAATTTTTAAATCCTTAATTACCGTTACTATATCAACAACATTTTAAATAAATTTTGATTGCCAAAAAGATGATTTTGTCCCTAAATTATCCGCAGATTTATGGCGATCTTTCCAGTGATTAAAAAATTCTTGTTCGCAAATTTGATATTCACATTTGTCTCTAGGAAATGCACTTTAGCACGCAAATCGGGGCTACTTATTCAACTAGAATATGTCGTATGGGAAAGACGCTCAGGCTGAAGTAAGCACACATGAACTTACTCTGTATCTACTACAAAGTATGTAATTTTGCGTCAACGTTCTAAGTAGCCTATTAAGTATATAGTATATAGAATAAGTCTTATTAAAATGACGATGTGGAGCTAAAGCTTGCATATGCGATACAATAAAGTGCTACTGCGATACTTACATTGGAAACAGTGCTGCATGTTGATTTTTTTAATATCGGCGCAGGTATGCGGGTATGCAAGGAAGCGTCGCTTTTGCGTTCAAATTCTTTAGAGCACAGAAGAAGGTAGACAGAGCGATAAAAAATATTGATTATATTATTAATGGCAAATCTGAATAAGGATCATGGAGAGACGGCTATATTACAGAAGCACATATAATCTTTTATTAGCCACGAGCGCAGAAAGTAACTTTGTTCTTGCACGTTACAGGTACAGTAGAGAAACTACTACTAGAAACCTTTCTAGTAAATATAAATGCGAATTTCTCTCGAAAATATCTGTCGATATATATAATAAATGTTTAAACAACAAAGCAACAATTAGAAATCGCCGCCGTTCGACCATTGATACCATTAATGTCAATTAACGAGAGAGTCCAATCACGCTGGAATCCGTCATTTGCGAATCGTTCGTTGTATCCAGAGAATTGGAGTGTAACGACAAATCATCCTGAAATCGTCATGGACTGCACTTCCGGATAGATTTGCTTCCGTACGCGCGTGAGCCATAAACCTTCGTTTACGCATTTGCGTGCAATTGCGTGTGTTTGCAACGCAATATATATATATATATATATATATATACATATATACACATATATACATATATATTGCATATATATATGCAGTCGCACATTGCACGTTAAAACAAATTGCATCGACTATGCTGGATCTTTCCTGGGTCTTTCCAAGGCTCTTCTTTTCGCAGTCAAAATTCACGATGCACGTTTGTAATATCGCAAAGAAATTACGTCGGGAACGACGTGAAAGAGAAAATTCTTGAAATTTACTTGCGATTTACTACGTGCTGCGAATGGCTCTGTTCGTCGAACGGAATGACGGAAGCGGCAAACGAGGCGCGACTAGAAGCAGCTAGGCGAAGTAACTTTGCTGCGATAAGATACGAGGCAGTAACCAGGATTACACGGTTCGTAAATCGTAATAAATGTTGCGCGGAAACTTGGAACGAAAAATCAATTTTTGATAAAACCCCACGTCAATTTACCGCCTCTTAGCTTATCGCATTGGTTTGCGTAGCACGACCTGCGAAGATCAACGATTCCAACATCACACGAGGACACGTGTCTCTGAAATGAAATTTTATTGTTATTGTGCAGATTGCGATCACACGTTTTATTTATTTATTTATTTATGTATTTTTTTGGAACCATGATCTTCGACTTTTTTTTTTATCAAGATTTTATATTTACAATAGGAGCTTATTTTGTGCCAAGCGTTATGGAAGAGCTCATTAGGCACACACGCACATCTTACGCAGGCTTAGCAATGAGTAACAAAGAAAGCCGGAGAGGAAGCGAAAGGAATGCCAGGATGATGAAGTGGGGGACGTATATCAGAATATTTGAAAAAGGTCGTAATAAGAGAAACTAGTTCATTACATCACATGCTTTAATTATCAATATATCGGGATAATAACTTTTATTTCGTACAATTATTGTACCTCTATTTTTCGATTAAAAATTCCAAATTACTCAAAAATACCAGAAGTCGCGTATCACGAACGTAGCGTAAATAATTTCGAGTCTCGTTAAAAAAAAAACAATATCGATATCGCAAATTTAACTTATGAATTTATTAAGTTTAGGGCTATAAGAGAGATTTCAACGACCGAATCAACAATAAGATCTTTATCCCGGCATCTCGAAATTTATCTTACGTTACATCCGAAATATACGACTTGCCAGAGTACGATAAAACGCGATAAGAGCGCCGACCTTCTTCTCGATGACGATCGACCACCTTTGCCGGGAAACTTAATGTGGCGATTGTATAGATAGAATAATAGGATCAAGGATCGACGTGTATATAAATGTGTGTGTATGTGTGTGTATATGTGATCGGGAAGAGAGGAGGGCGGGATATAGGCATTAATATAC